CGCCAAGCTTGGCGAAGTTAGCGGACAGGATGGAAGGGGAGACGATGATGTCGGACTTGCTGAACTGGTCCACACGTGAGGTGGCCACAACATTAGGGTACCGCCTGCAAATCGGACCAAGCAACACGGTAGACATACTTTACTCGTGACGGACAACGATAAATAACTTTCCGAATGGCCTCTACTGCCTGAGCGAAGGGAACAGACGCCTGGAGGAAGCTCGAGTGTCTACCTGGCGGGAGCGGCAGCGACCTTAACGTTGGACACCTTCTGGACCTTGGTGCCCATGAGCCCTGAGGACTGGGCGGCGACGAGGCTCTTGCCAGCTGAGAGAGTAGCAGCGGCCATGGCTGCTCTGCTTGTTTAGAGAGAGTGAAGTAAAGGTGTAGGAGACGTCTGGCAAGAGACTAGCCTTGAGAGTCCAGTTCTCAAAGATTACCTGGATTTCCTGTTGGTTCAACTGATGTAGGTGCTCGCTTCTCGCTGCTTGTCTTCTCCCCAACCACTCTTGCCCCCCAAGCATGCAGTGCCCATTCTGCACCACGGAGTGTCCATTGTCCAACCGTGCGCCCCACCCCATCCGTTCCGCGAAGCTCTCTGCGCGCAGAAAATTCCGCGCTTTGTCTTCACCCCGCACAAGCCTGCGCGACGCCGCTGCTTGCGGAGGAGCCCCGCCATCCACAATTGCGAGGCAACACTACCACATCCGAACGCAAGGTGGCAGACGCTTCTCACGTGGCACGGGGCTCCGGTAAAAGGCCATAGCAGAGGTGCCTGTCCCCAGATGCTGCTAGCGTGGCAAACGTCTGAGGTGGTGAAGCTCCCATCCGATACAAATCAGAGGGTTGCTCACGTGGCATCGATGAGTGGCTGAAGCTGATTGTAAGTGACTTGTGACGCTATCGGAAAGTGAAGTTCCATAAAGATGAAATAGACATAGGACCATTATGCATCTCTATTCCATTCGATTCCGTTCCGTTCCGTTCCACTCCATTTCAAAGGACCACTTGAAGTCTTGAAGCTATTCTTTGACTTTGATTTCAAGCTAATTATTACATGCGTCTTTGTTTGTGTCTGTACGTGCATGCGCATGCATGCGTATTATGCTATGAGACGATTTTTATGATTACATAAAATGAAAAAAAAACACGATATATTGTAAATTATATCAGTTATTGGATGATAAAGTTGAATAAAACTTGCATACTGGTGTATCGTATAATGTACCATTTTCTATCCAGCATTCATACATTTCAAACATTCAAGGCTTCAGGCACTAGCCAGGATGCTAATAGGGTGATAGTAGAACAGTGCAGAAACGGTGTGCCCTCTTCGCGCAGATGACGCCGCACCAGGAAATGCTTTGTGCTCAAGTCGTCGAGGGGCGGAACTGTCTGCCTGGCGACAAAACAAAACAATATCCCGATTCCCGATTCCCGAAACACAACTGCAGGACTGGACTTGTTTGATGAGGTTCCCAGGCCTGCCCTGACACGTTTGGATACGGTTTTGGGCGAGGAACTCGAATTTGAAGGAATTTATAAAACTCTATTCATTTTACCCAATATTTATGTCAGGAATGAATCATTATCTGATGAAATTTCTCGGCTGCTCAAGGTCGAAAATATCAAAGAGGAGCAACAGCATGGGGAGTCTAGGAATGGGGTGCTTCCAACATTGTGAATTGACTTCTGGAAATATTCCCTTGAAAAACAACACGAAACAAAAGGACTTGTAGGCGTAACGATGTTGGCTGATGGGTAGGAAGTTTACCCTGTGTGGACACAACAACACACCTCGACAGGCCGCTCCCTAATCTGGAGATGAATTGTGGCCTCCTCCTTCCTGAGTCCTGACCCCTAAGAATTGGTTGATTGCCCCTGCCACGTCGATTTCCTGGTCCGCAAACTGGTGGCGCATCCATAGCCGATTCATTCGCCGGTCTGCCGTGCCTTATCCACTACAGTAGTCTATCTGCCCGTCCCCGTGCCCGTGCCGTACTACTAGCGCAACGCGCTCAACGCCGCATGGCGCGCTCGCCGTTGCCCTGGGGCGGAAGAAGGCCGCAGTCCGCGCCGCAGAGTGCGGATCGAATGCGCGTAGCGTGTGCATGCCTGTGAAAGCGCAGGGTGCGGCGCAGAGTGCGACGCAGGGAGTGGTGCAGGGAGCGGCGGCGTACCACTGTCAATGACCTGCCGCGCACGCACGGTGCGACAGCTCCCTCCCAGCGAGAGTCGTGGGTCAATCAGGGCAGCGGGTGGCTCGCACGCGAAGCTTAACGTGCAGCTGCAAAGCACAAGCCAAGCAAGGCAGGCATCCGTCGTCTCTCGTCGTCTGTAGCAATCACAGCACGCATAGCCGCATAGTCGCAGTCTCATAGTCGCTCGGTCGCATATTCGCGCCTGGTCGCCTGACGTCGAGGCTGCGATCACGGAAATAGCTCAAGTACGAAGAAAAACGGTTACATTAGCGGGTGGGCAGCTGTAGCGCGAACCAGCTCTGGCCACAGCAGCGCCGGCTGTCGCGGGGGAGGCGGCAGGGCCAGCCGGGATAGCAGCAGCAGCAGCGGACTCTGAGTAGCAGCCAGAGTACTGCGTGTCTGGCACTGTACGATTTCCATTCGTCTGTTTTCTCGCCGTTCGTCCACCCCATCAGACCCTCGACGCGTCCCAGTGCCCCTACCCCTCACTACCTCCCCCTCATTCCTCCTCCCGCTCCCCACTCCCCCCCCCCCCCCGCCTTCTCCCCTCTCTCCGCATTCCTCTCTCCCCCCCTTGACCTCTAACCCCGCCCACCGCCCACTAACCCTGACGCCTAACCCTAGCCCTAACCCCCCCAATGTTGCGCCGGTTCTTCCACCGGCCGAACACCAACTCGTGCCTGTACCTCATCATAGGGTTCCAGCTGGGATGGATCTCCACCTCCTTCCTCCTCTCCCAACAGCACGCGCAGCACCAGCACGACCCCTCCCCCTTCTCCCTCCCCCACCTCCCCCTCCCCCGCGACCCCCCCTGCGCCTCCCCGCCTTGCCACCGCGCTGTGCGCTCGCTGGGGGACTGGGGCCTGGCGTCGGCGGGCGAGGGGGGCTCCGCGGACAGCGCAGGCGCAGGGGGCGGCGCAGGGGGGGCGCGGGGGGAGAGCGCGTGTAACCTGTCAGTGGAGGCGGTGCAGAGGCAGCAGGAGGCGATAGTGGGGGCGATGCAGCAGCAGGAGGAGGAGATGAGGCGGCTGAGGGGCGAGCTCGTGGACGGTGGTGGTGGTGCCAGGGGCTCTCGGTGGGAGGCGGATGCAGGTGCAATGGGGGACTTGTGGTGCCTTCTGTGCCAGTACTGCTCATTCGCTTTGCTCTGCTTAGGCGCTGGGTGGCTTGCTGCTGCTGCTCCTGCTGCTGCTCCTCCTGCTGCTTCTGCTGCTGATCCTGCTGCTGCGTGCTGGATGCTCTCTCTCCATCACGCCCTTGCTGCATCCCTCACTGCCCTGCCCTGCATGCCTGCTGTCGCTCTCACCTGTCCCCTACAGCATTGGTCCGACAGCGCGTGCCTGGCCTTTGACACGTACTCTTGCACGTGTACCACTACTCCCTGCAGCCTCACTTTCACCTTCTCGTTCATGCCCACTCGAGATTCCCATCCCACGTCAGGCCATGCCATGTCAGCCCATCCCATCTCGTACCATCCCATCCATCCCAATCCCATCCCATCCAATCCCATCCAATCCCATCCCATCCCATCCCATCCCCATCCTACGCCATGCTGTGTAATGCTGAGCCATCAGGCGAGGCGCCGTGTGTGCGGGACATGGCGCGCAAGAACGGCACTCTGGAGTGGAACCCCAAGCCGCAGAGGTGAGGGCGACGTGCGTGCACTGGTGAGCGCATTAGGTGTGGAAGTCCATGGCGTGTGTGGAAGTCCATGGCGAGTGTGGAAGTCCATGGCGTGTGTGGAAGTCCATGGCGAGTGTGGAAGTCCATGGCGAGTGTGGAAGTCCATGGCGTGTGTGGAAGTCCATGGCGTGTGTGGAAGTCCATGGCGAGTGTGGGGGGAGGTCCATAGGGAGAGCGGGGTTGATCCTAGGTGCCAGCCCAGGGACACCAAGTATCCGTCTTGTTTACCCATATGCCGCCCTTGTCTCCCAGAATCCGGTATCTCCCTCTCTCTTCCCCTCGCTCTCTCATTCGTGTGCGCAAAAATTCCTTCCGCCCAGTGTTGTGTGACATTGTAACGAGGTGACTTTTGAGTCGACTCAAAAGTAAAAAATTCCTTCCGCCCAGTGCACCGCCACCCCTTCACACACACGCACCCCCATCATCCCCTCGTTCCACTCCCCTCCCTCCACACCACACCACGTCACCTCACCCACCACACACACGCAGGTACCTGATTGCCATCTGTTCCGGGGACCAGCTGAACAACCGGCTGGCGTGAGTCGACTCAAAAGTTTCATTCCTCCCCCCCCCCCCCCCCACCACACCACACCGCACTGCACCAGACCACACCCCACCCCACCAAACCGCACCTCACCATACCTCACCCTCCACACATGCAGGTGCCTGATAGCCATGTGTGTGTGAAGGGCCAGCTGAGCCACAGGCTGGGGTGTGCCTTTTGAGCTGACTCAAGAGTCACCTCTCCCCTTCCACATCCCACCCACCCACCCACCCATCTCGTGCAGGTACCTGATCGCCATGTGTTCGGGGGGGCAGCTGAGCAACCGGCTGGCGTGTGTGCGGCAGAGCATGCTGGACGCAGCTCTCATGAACCGCACCCTCGTTTTCCCCACCCAGGGCATCGACTACGACTATGAGGCGCTGCTAGGTGTGTGCATTCGTGGTGGGGGGTGTGGTACGGTGTAGTGTGGTGTGGTGTGGTGTGGTGTGGTGTGACAGTGCTGCCTGGTTTGGCACGTTGACAAGCATGCTGGACAGTGGACGCTCGTCTTTGCCACTCATGGCATCGACTATGACTATGGGGCGCTGCTAGGGGCGTGGGGGAGGGAGGGGGTGCGGGAGGAGGTAGGGAAGTGGGTGGGAGAGTGGGTGGGAGAGTGTGAGTGAATTCTAGGTTGGCTGGAATTCTTCTTTCTTGGCAATGCTGCTGCTGACTGGAGGCTGCAGCGTTTGGCTGCTGCGAGGGATGAAGTTAAGGGAAAAGCAGTTGTGAGGGATACAGGTGTCATGTGTTTGCTCCCTTGCACAATGTCATCTGTTGCCATCCCACCTTCACTCTCAGCTTTCCTTTCCACCCGCTTAAAACGCTCCTCACGCCCGCCCCACACTCCTAACCACTCACTCAGTAGCTACTCAACACTCCCCCTATTTAAACCCTTCCCACCCCATGCCTTCCCACCCCATGCCTTCCCACCCCATGCCTTCCCACCCCATGCCTTCCCCACCCCATGCCTTCCCACCCCATGCCTTCCCCACCTCATGCCTTCCCCACCCCATGCCTTCCCACCCCATGCCTTCCCACCCCATGCCTTCCCACCCCATGCCTTCCCACCCCATGCCTTCCCACCCCATGCCTTCCCACCCCATGCCTTCCCACCACCCCATGCCTTCCCACCCCATGCCTTCCCACCCCATGCCTTCCCACCCCATGCCTTCCCACCCCATGCCTTCCCCACCCCATGCCTTCCCCACCCCATGCCTTCCCCACCCCATGCCTTCCCACCCCATGCCTTCCCCACCCCATGCCTTCCCACCCCATGCCTTCCCACCCCATGCCTTCCCACCCCATGCCTTCCCACCCCATGCCTTCCCACCCCATGCCTTCCCACCCCATGCCTTCCCACCCCATGCCTTCCCACCCCATGCCTTCCCACCCCATGCCTTCCCCACCCCATGTCTTCCCCACCCCATGCCTTCCCACCCCATGCCTTCCCACCCCATGCCTTCCCACCCCATGCCTTCCCACCCCATGCCTTCCCACCCCATGCCTTCCCCACCCCATGCCTTCCCCACCCCATGCCTTCCCCACCCCATGCCTTCCCACCCCATGCCTTCCCCACCCCATGCCTTCCCACCCCATGCCTTCCCACCCCAGGCCTTCCACCCCATGCCTTCCCACCCCAGGCCTTCCCACCCCATGCCTTCCCACCCCATGCCTTCCCACCCCATGCCTTCCCACCCCATGCCTTCCCACCCCATGCCTTCCCCACCCCATGCCTTCCCACCCCATGCCTTCCCCACCCCATGCCTTCCCCACCCCATGCCTTCCCCACCCCATGCCTTCCCCACCCCATGCCTTCCCACCCCATGCCTTCCCACCCCATGCCTTCCCACCCCATGCCTTCCCACCCCATGCCTTCCCACCCCATGCCTTCCCACCCCATGCCTTCCCACCCCATGCCTTCCCCACCCCATGCCTTCCCACCCCATGCCTTCCCCACCCCATGCCTTCCCACCCCATGCCTTCCCCACCCCATGCCTTCCCACCCCATGCCTTCCCACCCCATGCCTTCCCACCCCATGCCTTCCCACCCCATGCCTTCCCACCCCATGCCTTCCCCACCCCATGCCTTCCCCACCCCATGCCTTCCCACCCCATGCCTTCCCACCCCATGCCTTCCCACCCCATGCCTTCCCACCCCATGCCTTCCCACCCCATGCCTTCCCACCCCATGCCTTCCCACCCCATGCCTTCCCACCCCATGCCTTCCCACCCCATGCCTTCCCACCCCATGCCTTCCCACCCCATGCCTTCCCACCCCATGCCTTCCCCACCCCATGCCTTCCCACCCCATGCCTTCCCACCCCATGCCTTCCCCACCCCATGCCTTCCCACCCCATGCCTTCCCACCCCATGCCTTCCCACCCCAGGCCTTCCCACCCCATGCCTTCCCACCCCATGCCTTCCCACCCCATGCCTTCCCACCCCATGCCTTCCCCACCCCATGCCTTCCCCACCCCATGCCTTCCCACCCCATGCCTTCCCCACCCCATGCCTTCCCACCCCATGCCTTCCCCACCCCATGCCTTCCCCACCCCATGCCTTCCCCACCCCATGCCTTCCCCACCCCATGCCTTCCCACCCCATGCCTTCCCACCCCATGCCTTCCCACCCCATGCCTTCCCCACCCCATGCCTTCCCACCCCATGCCTTCCCACCCCATGCCTTCCCACCCCATGCCTTCCCACCCCATGCCTTCCCACCCCATGCCTTCCCACCCCATGCCTTCCCACCCCATGCCTTCCCACCCCATGCCTTCCCCACCCCATGCCTTCCCACCCCATGCCTTCCCACCCCATGCCTTCCCACCCCATGCCTTCCCCACCCCATGCCTTCCCACCCCATGCCTTCCCACCCCATGCCTTCCCACCCCATGCCTTCCCCACCCCATGCCTTCCCACCCCATGCCTTCCCACCCCATGCCTTCCCACCCCATGCCTTCCCACCCCATGCCTTCCCCACCCCATGCCTTCCCACCCCATGCCTTCCCCACCCCATGCCTTCCCACCCCATGCCTTCCCACCCCATGCCTTCCCACCCCATGCCTTCCCACCCCATGCCTTCCCACCCCATGCCTTCCCACCCCATGCCTTCCCCACCCCATGCCTTCCCACCCCATGCCTTCCCACCCCATGTGCCTTCCCACCCCATGCCTTCCCACCCCATGCCTTCCCACCCCATGCCTTCCCACCCCATGCCTTCCCACCCCATGCCTTCCCACCCCATGCCTTCCCACCCCATGCCTTCCCACCCCATGCCTTCCCACCCCATGCCTTCCCACCCCATGCCTTCCCACCCCATGCCTTCCCCACCCCATGCCTTCCCACCCCATGCCTTCCCCACCCCATGCCTTCCCACCCCATGCCTTCCCCACCCCATGCCTTCCCACCCCATGCCTTCCCACCCCATGCCTTCCCACCCCATGCCTTCCCCACCCCATGCCTTTGTGAGAATCTGAAGTGATGATTGTATTAGGAAAGGAGTGGGTATACATAGGTGAGGAGTAGGAGGGAGGGGGGGGGGGTTTTGGTTGGGAGGTGACCACGATTATTGGTGACCCCGATAAGTTGAGTTGGCCAACTTTTTGGGTGTCCAATAATCCTAGCCAAGATTATTGGTGGGTCCAATAATCTTGGTTGGGATTATTGGGGGTTCCAATAATTGGGAGCCCAACCAATTTGGGAACCCAACAAGGTTGGGAACCCAACCCCCAACTTGGGTGTATACACCCTAGTGGGGTGCTTATAAGTTCCTAAGACAATGAAACGATGTAGGCTAATAGAATGAAGGGAGAATAGTCTAACACAACCCCTTAGCCTACAGAGTGCCATAAGTCTTGGGAAGGGGAAGAGAAGCAACCCCTGAATCAGGTAGTCCCCTGTGAGGGAGGGGCAAGACCCAGAAGGCGAAGGAGAGCCGCATGGGGACGACGAGGGAGGGCCTTGGTGAAGATGTCGGCAAGGTTGGCTGAAGAGTCAATCTTGCGCACGGTGAGGTGTCCAGCCTGGACGAGCTCACGAACGAAGTAGTGTCGGAGCTCGATGTGTTTGGAGCGACCATGGAAAACGACTTCCTTTGTGAGGTGGATAGTACTGGCATTGTCGCACCAGATGGTGGGACAGGGCTGGGGAGCATCCAGCTCAGCGAGGAGGAAGCTGAGCCACCGCGCCTCCTGGGCCGCCATGGTGATGGCGTAGAGCTCTGCTTCGGAGGAGGAGAGAGCGATCGAGGAGGAGCGGGTGGAGCGCCAGGAAATGAGGCCGCTCCCGAGGGAGAAACCATACCCCTGTGAGCTGCGACGATCGGGCTGAGAATCTGCCCAAGAGGAGTCGCTGTAGCCAGTGAGCTGAGGAGGGGTGGGGCCGCCCAAGGTGAGGACATAGTCCTTGGAGCCTTTGATGTAGCGGAGAACGCGCTTGGCCGCTTGCCAGTGCTCGGGAGTGTGTTTGCCAGCGCCGACAAAGCGCGCCAGGACACTGATAGGGTAGGCGAGGTCGGGGCGAGTGCACATCATGGCGTACATCAGGGACCCGACCAGCTCAGCGTAAGGACTGGTGGAGGAACTGCGGGTGGTTGTCGGCGAGAGCTGGTGGCCGACTTGGAGGGGTGTGGAGACGGGTTTGGCCGTGGCCATCTCGAAGCGTTCAAGGACCTTCTCGAGGTAGAATGCCTGAGAGAGGGAGATGGTCCTGGCCGTACGATCGCGAGAAATTTCCATCCCGAGGTAGTTGCGGACCTCCCCCAGGTCCTTGCAGAGGAGGCGCTTCTGCAGCTCATCCTTGACCTGTTGTAGGTCTGCTTCGTTGTCAGCAGCAAGAAGCATGTCGTCGAGGTAGACGAGGATATAGAAGGGGGAGGGGGAGGTGCGCAGGAAGAGGCAGGAGGAAGCCTGGGAAGGGCGAAAACCAAGAGCACGGAGAGTGCTCGAGAGCTTGGCATGCCATTCCCGAGGAGCTTGCTTGAGGCCGTAGACCGGGCGGCGAAGTTCCCAAACGGTGTTGGGAGGGAAAGGGAGGTGCCAGCCCTCGGGACGCTCCATGAAGATGCGCTCATGGAGTTCACCTTGGAGAAATGCCGTGGTGACATCCATCGAGTGCAGGATCATGCCGCGCCGGCCAACGAAGTCCAAGAACACGCGGACGACAGGGGGAGTGGCGGTCGGCGAGTACGTGTCAAGGAAGTCATGGCCGTACCGCTGCGTAAATCCTTTGGCGCAGTAGCGGGCCTTATAGACCGGGTCGTCGCCAGGGAGGAGCTTGACCCGAAATACCCATTTGCCTTTGACCACGTTGTGGTTGAGAGGGCGGGGTACGTCGATGAAGGTGCCGTTGCGGACAAAGGCCTCGTTCTCTTTGAGGACTGCCTTG